GTGGTGCGATGAGGCAGTGCACTTGTGAGCCTCTCTGCTGCAGATCTCCTGAGGGCTCTCTCTCCTCCTTTTGCGCTTCTAACATTCGCTCATCGCGATCGCTGAGCTGGTCCTGAGCTGAGAGGCATTCTTCCCATTGCAAGTGCGTCTTGAGGCGGCTGCCGTGCTCATCTGAGCGCTGCTGACGCATGGGGTATGGAAACTCAGTGAATGCGGTTGGTGTGCGGCAGCACGTGGCAGACACACCCGCTCTCGACGCACAGAATCGTTCCGACACCAGGCCATCGGCACTGTTTGCTTGAAGACATTACCAAGCCTCCTTCTTTGCGATGCGTGTAGCAGCCACCTTAATTAATGCCCCACGGCAGTTTCACATAGTCCACTCTCCCAAACACAGCTAACATGACTGGCGACATGCACAGAGCATGGCCGAGGCAGGCACATCGATGCCCGCGCCTCAGCCTTTGGCACGTGCGATGCGTGAGTAGGACACGCTTTGGCTGAATCAGCCACACATACACAAACAGATAAACACACAGTAGACAGACAGACACAGAAACGCACTGACAGACAGAGAAACGCACCCAAACAGATACACTCAGACACGCTCACATCAACAACGGACAGACACACATACACACACACACACACACACACAGACACGCAATTCTGCGGCACGACGGACTGAGACAAGCTGCTGCGTGCCCGGCTAAGTGATAGGGACCTGGTAAGCTACAAAATGATGATGTCCTGAAGACACATAACCGAAAACTGTTCGTCCACCCACATGCTATCAACATAGCAATGATCAAAAATCCACCGACCGACGCCGCCCGCGATGCAACTCGTGCAGCTCACGGGCCGTCAAAACTAACTCCCACACGGAGGTGAGAGTCCCACCCAGCCATCCATGTCAAGTGCTGCGCTGGCAACACCTTTCAACGACACATACATACACGCAAACACACACACACACACACACTCCCGTCCCGCCACGCAACAAGCCACACACACCGGCTGACGACCGCCTGTCTGTCAGTGTGTGCGTCATGCAGCCTCGCTGGAGAAATGACCAATAAAAGACAGACAGACAGACAGATAAATGCCCACACGTCACACGTTGCATTCATATCAGTCATGACTCAGAGGCCTGCGGCGAGTGTCGCTGCAGGAAGGCCTCGACGGCCTCGAGGATGGGCACCACGCTGCGAGTCCAAAGCCCCCGGCCCTCATTGTTGACAGTGCCCACCACCGCCAGTTTGCGTTTCTGCGAGTAGAAGGCGTACGAGTTGCCGTAACCGACGTGGCCGTACACATCGAGGCCAATCCAATCCATCTGCAGCTTCATCGTACCCAGACCTGCAGAAAATGATACACGCGCACACCACAAGCATGGGTGCCAATGAAAGCATCTCCTCTCTCTCTCTCTCTCTCCCTCCCTCCCTCTGTCTGCCT